TATATACATTATCTTCCACATCAAAATTTACTCAGATTTAGTTCTCATTTAAGATATGGATGTTTTAACACCCCATTGGCCTAGTCCTACAATATGGAAGGATGACTAGAAGAATTGCTGCAACAAAAATAACCCCAAGAATCCTGTGGAAAGAAAATGTGGGGGTGCCTGGGTTGCTCAGTCGGTTAAGCATCTGATCTTGACTTGGGCTCAGGGTTGCTATCTCAGGGTTGTGATCTCAGGGTTGTGAGACTGAGCCCCAGGTTTGGTTGCACACTGGGCGTGGAGCCTGCTTAAAATTCTCTCTCCTCTTAAAAAAAAAAAAAAGAGAGAGAATATTTGGATTAGAAGGTAGATCCTGGAATTAGGAGGCTAAGCTGCTGACGCTATTGTTGTTCATATTTGCAGTTTTACTTTCTCCAGGTCATGCTAGTCCTGACTCAAATTTTGGAAAGTAGGAATCAGGTCATCCAGGGCAAGAAAAGTGACAAGTATATGTAGAATTAGAAGAATGTTGCTTTTGAAGACAATATTATAAGGAATCAGTATTGAAATTTTCAATAAAAGACACAGAAGACAAAAGAGCACAGGAGAGGGAGTTAAACAGACCTGGGTTCTCTTTTCCATTTCACACCTCAGCAGAGTGACTTGAAACAAGTCCCTCACCTTCTAATCTCCTAATGGTTCTGGGGGGTGGGAAGATAAAATGGCCTAACACATGTAACTAACTGCTTAACCATAGGATGTACTCAATAAATGTCAGATAAATGTCAGTAGTAACCTAGTAGTAGTAATAGAAGTGGTGGTGGTGGTGGAATGTATTCTGAGCAATGTCAATCTGAACCTCTGGACTGAATATTTAAATGCAACATTTAAAAAATGGGGTGCCTGGGTGCCTCAGATGGTTAAGTGTCTGCCTTTGGCTCAGGTCATGATCCCGGTGTCCTGGGATCAAGTCCTGCATCAGGCTCCCTGCTCCTTGGGGAGCCTGTTTCTCCCTCTGCCTCTCTCTCTCTCATCAATAAATAAATAAAATCTTTTAAAAAAATAAAAAATGACAGTAATCTTTCACTGAAATGTTAATCAACAGGGATGTTTTATAATAACATCATGTGTTTTGATAATTTTTGAGAAATATTTGAGTCTTTATTCTGAGGGATGAGACTTGCTACATACATCAAAAGATGTAAAACATTAACAACTACTATATACTATTGATACTGGATTTTTCCCCTTCAGTGAATGTTTTCATCAAGAACTTGTACCATAAACATAAGTGTGTGGTTGTAATTTAAGAGCAATTACACACAATTACACAAAACTAAAAATTCCTTAAACTCAAATAGCTTATAAATTATTTGCAAGTTTTTTTTAATTCTCCTAAATAAGGATTTAGTCTATTCACAAAATATATATATATATCAGCAATTATTCTCTTTATGTATTTCTAACAAGTTAGAAAATCTATGCCGCTCTAAATGCTGGACAACTTTAGTGAAGACCGATAGTTTTCCTCCTAGTATCTTCAAGTTGTGTATGTGTGTGACGTGGTTTCATGTTTAAAGGAAAAGTGAGGTGGCAAAAAACAAAAACAAAAACAAAACTGAATTTCTCCATTGAAGTCAATTGTAGGACTTAATTAGGGAAAGGAGACGCTGATAAAAATCAGCTCCGTTCATCTAAACTGCTGTGGTCTGCAATATAGAGAGAGAAGGAGAAGCAGTAATCCTATTGCAAGAATTAGAGGGTATTAGTGCATGCATCCTACTGCAGTCGTAGGCTGAGAATTGCTTTGACCATTTGCTCACAAGACCTGTTGAAGAGTCATGGGAGGAGGATGCTTGCGCACCATGTGACATTTCTGAATGGAATCTTTAAAAATTCTTATCACCCTTTCTTAAAAATGTTCATAAGATTCCACACACTTGGGCGCCTGGGTGGCTCAGTCGTTAAGCGTCTGCCTTCGGCTCAGGTCATGATCCCAGAGTCCTGGGATCGAGTCCCACATCGGGCTCCCTGCTCGGCAGGAAGCCTGCTTCTCCCTCTCCCACTCCCCCTGCTTGTGTTCCTGCTCTCGCTCTCTCTCTCTGTCAAATAAATAAATAAAAATCTTAAAAAAAAAAAAAAAAGATTCCACACACTTTGTGCACCTAGTTGGGTTTTGTTCGATTTTTAATGCAAACATCCTTCCTAAGAAACCTATCATCCAATATCCCCCAAAACCATTCCATGGCATCAGAGGATCAATCTTGCCCACAAAACAAAACACAGAAAGGGCATTCACGCTCCCAATGTTTAATTCCAGACATACGCTTACCTGATGCCGAATCAGGTGGGTCCTGCCCCACCTTTCCTCGAACTCTCCGCAGATTTCCCTTTAAGGACGCCTGCCAGGGTCCCAGGGCTGCAACGACGAGAGCAAGAATGGAGGGTGCAGAGCAAAGCAACCCCTCGCTTCACTACTCCCTGTCGTTCCCCTGCTCCAACTTGTTCCACGTCCCAGAAAGAGCTTCACCAGGGAGCACCACCAGCTCCACAGAGTTGGAGCGACACCCACAAGGAGTAAACCTGCATCCCTTCTGTGTCAACCCCGCAGACACGCAGGGGAAACGGCATCAATCCCTTGGAAGAGACCAGGCAGGCCAGAACAACGGCAAGTCCTGCTTCTCACAAAGAGGAGGAAATAGTGAGGGAGGCAGTCAGTGGGATGTAGCAGATAGAGGACAGCAACGGCGGAAGGGACAACTCCCCACTCCCGCCTAACTCCAAGCCATCTTCGCCCTGTTGTCATAGCACTTTACAACGAACGCCGCTGCGCAAGTCGGATGGCTGAGCTCCGATGCCTTCTGGGGGCTGTAGTCCAGAGTGGCCGAGGAGGGTGGAAGGTGGAAGACTTTTTCTGCTTGGGCCTGGTTGGAATCAGATTTCTAAAGGAGGGGGCTGGAGTGAACCACTCCCTGGTCCTTATTAGCACAGAGATAATACCATTCCCTTTCCGGTCCTTGGACAGTTCCTCAGATGTAGGCTCCGAGGAATACCCGCCTCCTGCCTCCGCTGTGGACGCAGGCCACGCCCCTCCCACGCCTACCCGTCCCGCGTGTCAGCGCGTGGGGGTGGAGCTTCCCGCGGGGGCGGGGCTTACGCAGGAGGGGCGGAGCGTCTGGGCTTTTCCGCGGGCTCGCGCGTCCCAGACTCCCGGAGCAGTTAATTTCCCCGATCCCAGGCGCAAAAGGCCCCGTATGTGAACCAGGCGGTGGTGGCCAGGGTGGCCTCAGTAGCGAGCGCCAGTGTGGGAGCTCCCGTGGCGGGGGTGGTGCTGGCCCAGTATACATTCACCTTGAAGAGGAAGACGTGGGGAAGACAAACATCGTGGAGGCGGTGGAGCATTTAAACAATTTCCAGGTGCTTATTTTTTCCTAGGAGAAACAGTGCCATGAGGTTATTTATACGTGGCTTCTGATCCCATGCGCAACGGCTCTCTTTAGCATATACCTTAGAGTGGATTACCTGGTATATAGATATGTAAATGTTCAGCTTTACAACTGAACATAATAATAAGGCCAGTTTTTTTTTTATCTTTGTTTTCAAAAGCAAAGGGGTGCCCCTAGAATAAAAAGGTTTTTTTAAATAATAGAATAAAATACTGTGTGAAAATAATCATGTGAAAATTACCTTGAGGGCGCCTGGGTGGCTCAGTTGGTTAAGCAGCTGACTGTAGATCTCAGGTCAGGTCTTGATCTCAGTATCATGAATGAGTTCAAGTCCTATGTTGGCCTCTGCGCTGGGTATGGAACCTACTTAAAAAGAAAAAGAAAAAATTATCTTGAACTACTAATTTATATTTCAAGCCGCTAAGATATGTAACTGCTTAATTAAAAAAAAAAAATACATATTCCCTGTGACAGGAGAAGCTTCTGAAAGCTTGATATCCAAATTCAACCTATTTCAGTGACAGCATGGGACAGTGCGAAGAATAGTATTTGCTGGGAAACCTAAGGTAATTTATAATTTCTGGCATGAAAAGTTTATTTTCAACAGCTGGTGCCATATTCCTCTTAATGAGTGTGATCGTTTACAAAAATAGCTGTAGGTTTTTTTTTCCATCTTTGTGTGCCCATTTCTTTACAATGTGATTTTGCAGCTCTACCCTTAAATCTGAATTTGACCTGCTTGGTCAATGAAACATTAGTAAATATGATGCAAGCAAAGCTTCAAAAAGTGCTTCTCCCTCTCGTGCTTCTCTTGAAAATACTGCAACCACTTCCATGTGAATGACCTGTAGAAGCTTGCTGAATGATGAGAAACATGTTGTCAGGTCATCTCCACTGCCCCTCTAGACCCATGAGTGAGGTCATTCTAGACCAACCAAACCCAGCAGAGCCACCAGCTAACTGCAGAGATCCATCTAGCCAAACCAAAGCAGAACTGCCCACCCAACAAATGTTATTTCTTTTAAACCTCATGCATATTAGACACACAAAGGACTATACCCATCATCAAGGCCAATTATTTATTGAGCCAGGCACACAATAAATATATGTGCCAGGCACTATATGAAGCATGTTGGATCATTTAACATTCAAAACACAGCTGTCAATTATTTTTTGCTTTAACTCATAGGACAAAATTAATTTGGAAAGATAATACCTAACTTATTTGCGTATGATGCCCTCTGATATTTCCACTTTCTGTTCTTTCCTTTTTTATTTCATAGTTTACAATGTTGCTGTTGATTTCACAATTCCCTCAGTTGATTTCACAATCCTCTAATGACTCTTGACCCAAAATTTGAACAACGTGAACGTAGCATTTATCAGTCCAAATAAATATTTCTAGAATGAATGAAATGTCATAAAGGCAGATTTGGCACATTAACAGCTGCAGAATATGTGTAGCATCACATAGTGTGGAACCATATGGTAGCTAGAGAAATGTTTAAAATTCAAATATGATAATGACTTCTTCCAACTTTATTTTCATTACCTTCCTACCACACTTACTTTGAGATCCAGGTCCTTCACAAGGTCTACAAGATCCTGGACAATCTTGTCCGGTCTGCCTCTCCAGCCTCATTTCGTGGCTCTTCTCCTTTCTCCCCAGGCTCCAGCCCCACAGTGACCTTCTCTCTCATTTCTTCTGTACATGAAGCCCCTTTTCCACAGGCTGCTCTGCCTCTTGGGATACTTTCCTTTGCTCCACCAGCTCCTACTCATCCTTTAAGCCTCTGCTTGTATTTCCCTTCCCCCTGGGAAGGCTTCCTGGACCACCACTAGAATAAGTACCCCCATATATCTTCATAGAACTGATCATAACTGAAGTTCTAATATATGGGTAATAGTCAGTTCAACATTTTTCTTATATAAGCTCCACAAAGGTAGAGACTGGTTTCTCCCCTGCACTCAAAATATATTCACATAGCAGGTCTAATTCAGTGTTTGATGAATGAATAAATGAATGTTTTTGAAATTTTTATTAAATCTTTCCTTCACCTTTATAACCTTACATCTTCTGGCTCTCCCCAGAGTTCAGACAACTCCATGGTGCATACCAGAGATAAATCTGAGTGGCTTACACCAACCAAATGACTGGCATTGTTCCTTCTCTCCTGGGGTGGCTTTTCTGCTGGCCAAGCTTGGGTGCCTGATGCCTATGACCATTAGTGGGTGGGTTCTTGCTCAGGAGACTACATGGGCCCTGAAACTATCAGGATCCAGGAACGCTTACCTCAAACATGGACTAGACGTGCTCAAATATGTGGAATTGCACCAGGAGTGGGGACTTGCACACAAGCTGGGACCAAGGACTTCACCATTCATAAACTGAGCTATTGAGTATCCTCACCTCTCATGTGTGAGAACTGTAAGAGGTTGTTCTAAAGTGTAAGAAGGAAACCTTATGTTTCTAAATAATGAATTATACTACTATTATATTCATTTAGTATCAGGACATCCAGGTTGATTTTTTTTTTTAAGATTTTATTTATTTATTTGACAGAGGGAGAGACAGCAAGAGAGGGAACACAAGCAGGAGGAGTGGGAGAGGGAGAAGCAGGCTTCCCGCTAAGCAGAGAGCCCGATCTGGGGCTCGATCCCAGGACCCTGCTGAAGGCAGACGCTTAACGACTGAGCCACCCAGGCACCCCCCAGGTTGATTTTAAACACTAACTTTGAGGGGCACATGGGTGGCTCAGTTGATTAGGCATCCGACTTGATTTTGGCTCGGGTCATGATCCCAGGGTCCTGGGATGGAGCTCTGCATTAGTGGGGAGTCTGCTTCTGCCTCTCCCCCTCCCTCTGGTCTTACACCCACCCCCACCCCCCTGCTCATGCTGTCTCTCTTGCTTTCAAATAAATAAATAATCTTAAAAAAAAAAAACTAACTTTGCAATCAAACATTGTTTCTGACAGAGTTCTTTAGTCACAGATAACAGAATCCATTCTAGCTGGTTAAACAAAAACTAGTTTCAAGGAAATCAGGTAGTTCATCAAACCTCTGGGAGACCCAGAAAACCAGACTTGAACACCTCACAGCCAGGGTATTTATGGGGCACTTACTGGTTCAGGTAACTTGCATCAACTGCTAGATTGGTTTATCTGAGAACCTGATTTCCAAGCTCTGGGACATACCAGTGTAATACTGTGTTTCTGTTCATAGACCTTGTGCATTCCTTCATTTAGATTTTCTCTAATAAATACGAAGGAGCTCCTCATATATTTTAAGTATTAACCATATTGAATGCCACATTTGAGGGGAATAGTCCCTGTGCTGTTACTTTTACTTCGTTTGTGCTTTCTTCCATTATGTTAAAGCTAAAACAGTGATCATAACTTCACATATCAGATACAGTTACAAAATGCAACCTAGTTAAGCACTTTAACAATTCGCGGCGGCCTGGCTCCACGACTTCTACTTCTGCATCCTCGGGCATGTTATTTAACTCTCTCCGCCTCCTTCTTATGTATAAAATAAGGGTAATACATACGGGTAATAACAGCACTTAGTAAGTTTTTAAAGATTAAATCAATTTTTCTTGCGGGCTTAGCTCAATAACGAGCACATAAAAAGCGCTCAGTGTCTATAGCTTTCAGTCTAGCACCCAAACCTTGTCTAGATACACCGCAGGCTGACTACGTTTTAACGACGTTCTGGAAAAAGAGAATTTCTCTGGGGTGTCTTGCTTTCTTCAAAGCTGGGTGAATCCCAGCCCCAAGTAGCAGCAGCCCGCGTCTAGCCAGGGGGGCCACAAAGCCGCCGCGCACGGGTCCCCAGGCCTCCCAGGGGAGGGGCGCGCGCGGGGGGGGCGGGGCTCCCCGGCTGTCCCGCAGGCCTCCCCCACCCCCAGCCCGC